CTCTGATTGGACCAGATGGTCCTTCCCTATGTCTCTCTGACCTTTCCACAGTTACTATTTTGTCATCAGCTTCCATACCTCTCTTACCAACTTCTCAGCAGGAAGATGGCACCGTTGTTTGGAGTAGGAGAGTTGTTGGATAATATGTGAAAATAATACATGGCACAGAGTTAAGGGAAGCTCTGTATTAGAAAACAAGGAGCGCTCCCTTGCTTTGAAAAAAGAAAAGCCAACTAAAAGGTGCTAAGACATGGACTAATTTTAAATTCAAGAACAGGCTACAGTGTGAAAATGTGATACTTGCATGTTAAAGTGTGTCCGTGATTGTTGAACATATGTTTGGTGCTTGCTATTTTCACATGAAAGCTTGGCTGGTTTTGTTTAGGTAGGTTTTTGTAGTAGTCTGCTGTTCTGTGTTATCATTAATGTTTTGTGGCTGTGTGTGAGACTGTGCATGTGTGGTGTTTAGTTTATGGGAGTGAACACAAATGAATGCATGATGGCATTTAAGCTCCTAATTCCTTTTTTTTAAATTCCTTTGATGCACAGAGTGAGTCGTTGTGGGATGCTCACATGAAAAGGTTGCTTGCAGCTGCAACACTAAGTGTGTTTTTTTTAAGCAAACAGCTTATTCAAGGGTAAACAGAAGACAGACATTCTGTCAGTAAAAGTACATTAGAACTTTTTGGAGCAGAGACATTTGAAAAGGCTGCCTGGTATTGACTGTTTGGAGATTTAACATATAGTTTGTAAAACAAGTTTTGGCACAGTAGCACCAACGCGACCGCTGGAATATATGATGTTTAATCGGCTGGTAAATATTGAATTTGTTTGAGGCTGCAAGTATGTAAATGAATTTGCCGCGCCTGCCTGTCTATATTTAAACCTTGTGTAAAGAATTTGCACAGTGGATTTCTGAGGACACTCCTTCTGTTTGGATAGTGGCAGTCAGTGTGTCTTTATTGGGAGTTTAGTGGCTAAGAGCTGTGCAGTTGTAGTGTGTGTCTTTCCACCTGATGGGCACATATCCTAAAGTTGTGATAAGAATGTCCTGTTAAGAACAGGAACAACTCTGTAAAAAAAAGTTATACTTTATAATCCAGTTGAAACCTTTTCCAGGATTAAGCTCTCAGCAAACCCAACACACATCTAAGCAACATTCATCACAATTCTGCTCTTCATAGTTCTGATGCTGTAGAGTATCATGTCAGTGTCAAGTTGAAGGGGGACTATTTTGATTCAATTCATTTAACATACAATTCTATCCAAAGTATTGTTAATCTGAGATTATGCAACAATTACAGTTTGATGGCCACGTCTGGCCCATCTATTTGAAACACAAGAACATCAGTTACACATGTAACTCTACTAAGTTTAACTATTGTAGCTTATAACCACCAGTAGTAAAAAGGACTTGGGTATTAACATCAAGAATGAGTACCCAAGTTCCTGATGTTGTGCAGGGCAAACAAGGCCATGTGAGCCTTAAATGTTAGCCGGTCATGAATCATTACACCAAGGCTCAGGGTAGATTTAGAGGGCATTAGTTTGGTTGGTCCACACTTGAAATTGATCTATGGTTAAGAAGCTCAGAGATTGTTGAGAGGAGGATTTTGTGGTTAACAGTGTCAAAGGCAGCTGGCAGATCTAGCAGCAGTAGGACTGAGGACTGACCAGCAGCTCTAGCCAAATGCAGTGATTCCGTTGCAGACAGTAGTGCAGTCTGGGTAGAGTGGCAGTAAAGAAGAAGAAGAAGAGAAGACAAAGAAGACTATCGCCAGACTGTAGTGATTTTAATTTCGCTTTTATGCCCAGAATAAACGTCATCATGAGCAGAAAAAGACTATTATAATGTATCTAAAGTCCCCAGCTTGCAGAATTATTCTGTTTTAAATGTCCCGTGTCAACTGGTGATGGGAACACCTTTTCCTTAATTCAGAATACAAACATGTGCTTCTTGAATGGGTTTGTTTGCAAAACAACAAGCATACAATGGGACTGTTCATATACAGAGACACACAAGTGTTCTTGGATTTTACCAGTGTTTGTGTGAACCACTGTGTGACACCTCCCCAGAGCCCCCTAGTCTGTCAGTGGGTGCATGGAAAATGTCAACTAAATCCTCCAGATGCTGCAGAGGAATTTGCAGCACTGAAAACCCTCTCAACACAGCTGGATTTCTGCCAAAGCTAATGGCCTTTCTCTCTGTGGCAGTATTTACTGTCTTGTTGAGATTGAGTTCCACAAGTTTTCACTCTCAGGATAAATGTTACTTTGATCAGGGAATGGATTCAGAGTTATCATAGCTTTGAGGTTAAAATATCAGTTTTGCCATATCATTCTTTGTACATGTTTTAGCCATGTATTGAGTTTATTTATCTCCAGATTAAGGCAGGAAAGTAGACTACACAAAATACAATTGTAGATGTTGACATGTTGATTGATGGAGAAACCGACAGACCGTAGTTGTTTGCTCAGGGAGCAATTGTAAATACAGCAGCAGTCTCAAGTGTACACAGGGCAACTTCATTACGTTTACACGAAAGTAAACTTGTACAAGTGCTGTGTGCATGTTACCCAATAGAAAACACACTCTTGTTTTCCTGTGAAAGCACCTTGAGGGTCTGCTTGAGGTAAACTTTCCAATATTTTGAGTGCTACGAATTAGTGCATCAGCACTGTTTCAGTTTGTAAGTTTTAATGTTGCAGTTGTAGAGATAACAAAACACAAATTGTTTTATATATTTGAATGTACCCAAAATATGTATTGTTTGTAGCCAGCAGATTCTTCACCCTGAAGAGGACATAATTCATAGAGAACTTGTGATATCTAAATATCTTCTCGTTTTGGTTTCATTGGCACGGGAACTATTCAGCCCTTCCTGATAAAGTATCAGCAAACCTCATGACTGGACAGTAATGGTTCCTCTCCACCCACTCATGCAGCTATATGTGGCAGAAGAGAGACTGTTAGGCACAAAGTGACAGCTGACATTCAACCTGCCACTCACAGCCTGTCTAGCCTTTGTGTGTTTGAATCCTAACATTGATACAAGACACCAGTATGACTTTATTTTCAGTTATGGTTCATATTCCAGCTTCTAAACGTTTCTGTAACACCAGTAAACCCACATGTTTTGGGGAAACAGAGATATGCTGGAACATTTCAATATGGCCAACATTTTATTTTATTGGTTTTTATTGGTTAAATAATAGTTTTTCCAAAACAAACACTTGTTGTCCACGAGTTGATGTCGAGTGAATGACAAAACATGAGAGGAAGTGTGAGTAGAATCTGACAGGCAAACATCCCTGTAAAGACAGAAACTACACTCATGCAGGAATATTGTTCTCTTAAATGAAAAAGAGCATGTTTTTGTTTTTTGTGTGACATCACTGCATTTAAAAAAAAAGATTTAAATGGGAGAAGAGAGTGTGAAGTTGTTTTCAGAAGAACCAGTAATGCAATTTAAAAATATCAAACCAGTGCAGCACATTTTTTCTAAAAGGCTTTACTGTAAAAGTATAATATTAAAAACATGTATTGGCCTTGTAATTAACAAACGTTCAGCCTGGAGAAGGCTGTAGATTCAAACAGAATAGAATAGAGTAGATGTTTATTTCCATTTGCACAGGTACAGGACAGTACAGGTTGGAATTTGTGCAAAAAAGTTAGCATTATATATAAAAAAGAATTCTAAGAAAAAAAAGAGTAGAAAAGTACAAATAAAATAAAATAAATAAATAAGTTGCAGTAACAGCTAAGTAAATTAAAATAAACTGTACAGAAGCTATACACTGTATTAAAGCAAAGATATAATACTAAAAATAACACTGTACAATGAAATGAAAATATAAATAGGTTTTCTTGTTTCTAACTTTCTACATCTCTCATTGCACCTGAGGTTATTGCACACATATTTCTTACATTATATAATTACACAGTTTTTTGTTTGTAAGGTTAATATTGCACACTTGTATTGCACTGTGGTCAGATGTCCATTTAGTCTGTGAGGTATGGGGTGAATGTCCTGTGCTACAAGTCTCACAGCAGCAGGGAAAAAGCTGTTGTGGTAGCGGGCCTTGTGGGTGGAGATGTTCTCTTGGAAAAACATTAAAGTCAAATCAGCAGGTTTTCACATCAACCAACACATAAGTATTGATAAGCAACCTCAAATCCGTAAATTACTCTGATTTACTAGACAAGTTGAAGACCAAGCCCTTGACATGTTCAGCTCACACGGCACATTGAAAGTAGTTCTGAAAGCTCTGCCATATCCAACTTACTAATGTTAGCTTCACATCCTTCGTGTACAGGTTTTCCTCCATTGAACTGGTGTAATGTTCAGTGGAAACCTAAATTGTGGGTCATTATAGTTGTTGTGTTGCCTCGGATCTCAGCGAAGAAAAATCTCTGGACCTCATTCAAAACACCAGAGGTCATAAGAAATGTCTGCTTCTACTGTTGAATGGGTCATGGGAAAATGTTTGACATTTTTTTTCTGTATTTTTTCTGTATTTTTCAATTATTGATTTGAGTTGATAGAAAGACAGAAAAAAATAGAGGAGGATATGTGCGTGTGTGTGTGTTGTTGCTTAGCACATATACAGTTAATATTACTACTCTATTAGGGCATCACACATTGAAACTGTACCTTTTAAATGTATCAACATTGAAACACTGCAACATTGGTACCTCGTTAATCATCCCACAAAGATATTCCCTCTGTGAAAACTTGGATCAGCTGCAACTCAAAAGCTTGAGGAGGCTGAAGTTAAAAATAAACACAATTCTTGCATCAGTAGGCTTGAATCACTCACCATCAGAACATTTAAGCAGCCATGTTATCACCAAAGTTTGGTCAATTTAACATCAAAGCAGGGGTTTTGTTTTTCTCCCTCCACAATGTCACAGATGCATGTAGAGATATCTAATAACTAAACAACTGAAGAGAAATGGACTGAGGTCTGACTGACTGACTTGTGTGTTTGTGTTCCAGGGGAGCTTTCTCCGAGGTGGTCCTGGCTGAGGAGAAGAGGACCCAGAGATTGGTGGCCATCAAGTGTATCCCCAAGAAGGCATTAGAGGGAAAAGAAAACAGCATTGAGAATGAGATAGCAGTCCTGCACAAGTAAGTGGACTATACCTCGATCATCTTTAAGCCTGTCTGTATGTAACTACTGTACACACCTGATCTGCATCTGAAATACTAACCACATGGTTCAGGACTACCACCACTGTATCAAGTATATTGTATCACATAACAGCATATCATATACACCATTAATAATATATCCTGAAGTGATATGATAATTATAATGTTATATGCAGTGTTGTTCATAACATAACTACAAAAAGTGGGTTTAACAGCTGTTTGTTGGTAGCGTCACTGTTTTATTTATCAAGTAATGCAAGTAATAATCTTAACCATCTACATTTTCCCCACAACAAAGTTAAAGCGGTGAAGTATTTTCTCACGGTCCAGATCAAAGTTCTAAGGATGATTTGCAGACGCTAGCCTAATACTGTTGTACTGTCCTGTCTTTCAGGAGCGAGAGCATTCTGGTTCTGGTCTGGGGTTGTGGTGGTCCCCAGATCAGACCTGGAACTCGCCTCCTCCTGAACTAGAACATCTCTAGTAATCCATATACTCCACTATCACATACCTAAGACATACACACACTTGCATACAGTCTCACAGTCTCACACACACACACACACACACACACACACACACACACACACACTAGTACACAAACACAATAGTTTCTTACAGACAGACAGACACAGACAAACATCCTTACAGATACAGGAAGTTGGCCAGTATGGTCGTTGTGAGCAGGAAGCTTACTGCTGTCTTATTATAGTCTTTACACAGAAAGGACCGTAGAAGAGGCCCCTGCTTTCAGGCCTGGTGACATTTTGTTGTGCAGAAATCTATGAAGGGACAAGAGCAATGGACTTACCCTACGAGCAGAATCAAAGTACATGACGTTACTATTGGTGAGCCTTCTTTGTAGCAGTGGTTGCAAACAAACAAAGGATAATGGAATTTCACAACGCTGTAAGGAGGAACTAACCTTCGTGTTGAAGAGCATTTTTTTTTTTACATGCAGCTCCATTTGCTGCAAAACGTTTGCCTCACACAGGGGCAATGGCTGAATGATCAGCCCACTGTGCATCTTGTCACCCTATACAAGATGAACTGAAACTAACAGCGAGATAAACTGTTATACTGAGCCCAACAGCTGGCTTCATGTAACCAAAACTGTCAATGAAGGTTGAATGAGACCAGTTCCAACCAAGTTCTCTCTCTCTCTCTCTACGGTGTCCAGTGATCCAGATAGTTTTGTCAAAAACAATACAATTAAGGTGAAGCGCATTCCCTGTGTGATGCCTGAGTTACCTTTTGAAAGCTCAAAAACAGCTTGTACTTCTGATTAATCTTTTTATTTTATTTTATTTATTTTATTTTTTATTATAGTAACACCAAATAGACAAACAAAAACACAAGAGGTACACTTCACCTTTCCATAAAGCCAGGACAAAACAAAACACAGTAAAACAAAGGAAGAACAAACAAAACAAAACAAAAACGAACAAAAAATAAAAAAGCAAGACCCTTCCTGCCTCCATCTTTATAAATGGAAGATAAAAAAGAAAGTAAACAGAAGGAAGAGTCAGTTACTCAACATATCAGTGAACATTTGTATCCGAACAGGGTTCATCTAACCGTAAACCAGGAAAGGTAATCAGATTTTTTCTGATTAATCTTGAAAACCACAGCTTTTTTACTGAGGAGATTCCATGAAACTACTTTCTTCTGAAGAAATAGTCCTTGTGTAATTTGTTTTAATACGTCATGAAAGGCCCCAAGAATGACATCCTTTTTTTGTGTAATGTGTGAATATCATTAAATTAAGCATAATACCATTCACCTCCGTTGTTTTGAGGTGATAGAATGTTGCAGGTTTTTATAACTATTTATCTATTCACACACTTGTTTTTTTACCCTTGTTTTTTCTCCATGTGTCATATGCTAAGGTGCACTCTCACCTATCGAAATACATTTAATTGTTTTTTTTTAAAGACAGAAACTTGAGACAGTGACAATGCTTGTGATTGTTGAGCGGTTAAAACACACCTATCTCTCGATGTGGGGAATCACAGGCCATGGTGAATATGGCTGATCTACATCGGGTCCAAAGTTATTTTTAGCACTCTTGTTGCCTGGGTTACAGGAGACACAACTCTTGCCAATATACAGCGATGATACAGCTATGGTGGAATGAGAGCAGAGTCTGTTCAAATGGAGTAGACGGAGGTGAACTTGGACAGGATCATCGTGTTTTATTTGCTCTGTCGAAGTTTGTACAGACTCATTACTTATTTCAATTCCTCATCCTCGTCTCCCGCTCGGCAGGAGCTTCTGGACAGGGTCTAACTTCGTAGTATGAGTTTCAGTTTTGTCTCTTGCTGTCATAAATCACACTTCCAGGAGCACATCAGAGCAGCTTTGAGTAGGTGTGATTACAAGCACAAATGATGTTATATTTTTACTTCATAGGCTTCTGGTTCAGCCTGCAAGGCTCATGCTGTCAGATTGAAAATATATAACATCCCTTTGTTTTATCCAGGTTCAGTTAAGTGTCTTCACTGCTGTTATTTTTAATGTATCAGCTGGACTAATAATCAATTTTAAGTATGATTAACCTATAATAATTAATAACCTCTATATATTTTAACATAAACCTGTCTTATGTGAATCTATCAATGATTTATTTTTATTTTTTTAAGATTTATTTTTGGGGCTTTTTGTGCCTTTATTGTAGAGATAGGACAGTGGATAGAGTCTAAAATCAGGGAGAGAGAGCGTGGGGAACGACATGCAGGAAAGGAGCCACAGGCTGGATTCGAACCTGGGCCGCCCGCTTGGAAGACTACAGCCTACATACATGGGGCGCGCGTACTAACCACTGCGCCACCGACACCCCCTTTTCAATGATTTTTTATTTGTTTTTCCAGCTCTTGTAAAGCCTTTGTTGCAGTAAATATATATAGTAAGAGGTGTTTGTGTGTGTTAAATAGCTACATTTAATTTGAGGCACATTTAGAGATAAGTGTCTTGTTGGAGGATCATCAGTCAACTCATTTCTGTCCTGACTCCTGATAGTTAAAAACAGATGTTTGTAAAACAGCTGCCCAGCCTAATGGGAGTGTGATATACACCAGTGGTTGTCAAACTTTTTAGACTGCGTACCACCTCCGAAAATATTTGGCTCTCCAAGTACCACCATTATGGTAGATGTTAAAATACACTGTAGGTCTATTTCTACACACATTTTACGCAGGAGGTTATTTATTATTGACTGTTGGCAGCCACACTATAGGACTACTAAGGGCTAGCGCTAGAACTGGCACTTTAACTCCACACAACTCTGACATTTGCCCAAATCAAAAAAAAAATGACAACTTTATACCAACAACCTGTTTGGGAATATTTAGTCTCCAGTGTTTCCCACACAAACACGATACCTGGGCCCAAGTATATTTCCAACCTGTTCTCATTTAATTTATTCATAAAATTGCTGCGTGAGAGAGAGAGAGAGAGAAACAGGTCCTCCTGAGGCTCTGTGCAACCAGAGCCACTGTATTATAAGCCTCTGCATTCAACATAGCAAAACTGCCTTTTTTTTTTTAAATCCCTCTCGACTCCTGCGGAGTGTTAAGACAACAAAATAGAGCAGAATCACATCAGCTTCAGAGAGAGAGGGAGGGGGAGCTGCAGCTGCTTGCTGTTGTTTCAGTACTGAACTATAACGGAATATCAAGTGGAACTTTTCAAAACGTGAGGTGTACTCCTGTTGTTGTTTATGTCTGTGCGCGCGCGAGCATAAATTGAGCAGATTAAAGTTGGTTGTTAAACTAGATTAATTTAGAGGGGAAAACACATTTGATATAAATACAACTCAATAGATACAAGACAGATAAGATAAGAGTATGACAAAAAAAAATTTAGTTTTATGCTGAACAGGTTTTTTTTTTATATTGTGGAGATTTCTTTGCGTACCACCACAGAGAGCCCGCTTACCGTACCATAGTTTGAGAACCACTGATCTACACCAAAGGATTTACTCAAACACAGACATGTAAATAAAGTGAATCGTCACGCTCCACATAGTCATTTGAAGCCCTGCAAGTAAGAGGAGCTGCTGTTGAATACCTGAAAAAATATAAATGGATTCTCATGGATGCATTACCTAGCAGAATCATGTTTTTGAGCTAGAAATGTCTCAATTGATGTTGGCCTCAAGACCGGCAGCTCATTGGTCCCATCGTTAAAAAGTTCCTTGGGAGCACAGTAAGTCAAAACAAGATGCACTAAGATCAATGTAAAAAAAAAAAGAAGACTTTGTTGCCCCCATTTGCCTCTTAAAGATGTGGGATATAAGATTTCCATTCTCAATTTCCTGGAAAATTAAACTGATGTTATGTATCATTCTGTATATTTAACGTCAAGGTCCTACAGATGTTTTAAAGAGCCAACATTCATCTATGATAAACTCTCAAATGAGTTTCACAACTGTGGGAGGATATAAAACGGTATGTGCAAACAAACAAAAAAAGAAGATGCTAGAGGACTTTATTTGACTCCTAATTGTTTGGGGACAGCTTGGCATTTCTCCAAAAGGTTCCATCAATACTCTGTAACGATCCGAGAAACTCAACAGAATATGGATTTAAGGATGAGTTAATCTGCGAGTTTCTCCCTGATGTCAGATGAAGTCATTACTTGCTGTAAGAAGGAACTCTGCTCTCTAATTCGCTAACTTCTGTGCTGTAATGAGCTGTGAGAGCCAGGGCTGCTGACAGGGGTCACAAGATGACTCACGCAGCCCTCAATTTGACATTTCAGCTCTCTGACAATCACCATGACCACCGTGTCCGCCATGGTGTCATTCTCAACTCGACCTCACCTGCACAGGAATCTAATGCAGTTACCTTTACTGCTTATTTGACCTTCTGTTATTGTGTGTAACAGAGCACGCTAGGACTCATGCGCTGTCACACGTGTCTGCTCCCTCAGCAGCTTTAATACCTCATTCACCCTTCAATGGGTCAATCCCTCCTTCCACACTGGGCTAAGCAGATGAATGAAGGTGTCCATGCATTGTGTGACAAGCTGCAAAACAGTCATTGCTATAATCTAGCATGAGCTCAGGGTGACACAGTTACCTCAGGTGAAGCGCAGACAAATAGCTTTGCATCGTCTTTGTTTGGTTTTGGTTTTGTGTTGTCTTTGTTTTGTTTGGCTTTGTGTTATTTTTGTTTGTCTACCTTTAAAGTCTACTAAACATGTTTGAACATGCTTTCAGCGTGTGTTCAGGACTCCAGGTACTGATGTGAAATAAGTACGGCTTTCCACTGAGCAACATTTAGTGGCAGTCACTTACCAACGAATGCAATGGTATGCAGTGAAGGATGAGGGGCCCGTTTCTGAAAGAAGGTTCAACAAACCCTCAGTCTAACCATGAGCTCTGAGTTGATTTACTCTCAGATGGGAAACTCTAAGTTTTTGGTTCTAGATCAGCTGATTTGAATTAGTTAAATCAACTCTGAACACAACTAACGAACATGAATGGAGCCCCGATTCTATGATTCGCCATGGCAACAGAAGACAAAAAAGAGATCCTCCTACTTTAACCATCTCCAAATATATCAATATCTTCATGTGGCCATAGGCTACGGCGAATATGAACAGGTTTTAAGAAGGAAAAAAAAACGTAAAACTGCTGCAGCGCAGCGACACAGGAGAGAAAAGTGGTGTAAGAGAAAACAGCTGCTCACGTCAGCACGTAAAGTCTATTAATTTAATATTTAATCAGAATTAAAATATTGCAGGTCAAAACTGATGGAATGGTAGGCTATTAAACCTATACAATTTATTTTCATTAAGATGCAATCCAGCAGAAGAAAAGTGATTTTTAAACAGCTCAAAATGAAATATAATAACATAATAGGCTCATATAGATTTATAGTTAACTTAATTCAGAGTTTATTTGAATCTGCATTAAATTTATCCTCAACATAAAGCTGTATTCACACACATAGGCTAAATGTCCTCTCACCTTTATCCTGTTTAGTTTATAAATTAACCCTAATTAAATTAACATCTCCCGACGTTAATGTAGCCTAGGCTCTAATTCCCTTCGGAGTAATGCAGCCCCTTCATACCGACTTAGAGACATGCCATGTTCAATAAAATAGTTTGTTTTATACACTGTAGTAGGCTATTGCCATCCTAACATATCATCATAAAACAACCTGGATTTTTATTCAGGCAACCGGTGAATCTTCACTAACACGGCGTGATACGGACTGAATGAAAGAATGAGGAAATGAAACAACGTTTCTGGCTCTGAAAGAGGGAGGAGACTGAGAGAAACTCGGGGTCCATTGAAGAAAACCTGCTCCCGAACAGGTTAGGTTGACAGACTCAGTTACCATAGTAACTGACTCAGAGGTAAAGTAATCTCTCCCTCTGAAACGGGCTGGAGTTACCCCTCTTTCTCGGGTTTGAGTGACCTCCTCTTCTGAAACGGAATACCCAGAGTTTCCCTCATTTCAGGGTTAACTGACTCAGAGTTTACACAAAACCTTCTTTCAGAAACGGGCCCGAGGACTGCTAGCAAACAAATATCTATGTAAACACTGCATGATGTCATACAGGAGACATAAAACATAAACGTTTTAAATCATTTCAGTATCTGCTTTTCAAATGCCCATCAGAAAGAAAATGCACTTAACAATGTTAAAGCGCATTCAAGAGGAGAACTTTAAACTGAGAGAATCAGAGCTGTTAAGAGCGTGTTATTGTTTGATGACAATCTCACACCCACACACTCACCACACACACCACCATCATCATGGATCTAGGGCTGGCTACTGATTTATATCTGAGCTTTGGTATGATAACAAAGCAAAAAGATTTCCCGCTCTCTTTTTCCCTTTTAGAAATATAGTAATGTGTTTCTTCAAAACACTTTTTGTTTTGTATTATTGTTTGTTCTTTGCTTTTTATTGTTTTTAACAAAGAAGGCCAAATGTATCAACACTAAAACAATGCACTTAACTTTGTCTAAATAGCCCCGTCTGAAAGTAGTACACTTTAATCTAGAACAACCAATTAGAAGAATATCAAGGCTACAAACACTTTTTTAATGGACACCCAAAAGGTGGTGAGGTTGAATTTGCCACTCTACATTAATCATCATAAAAAAGGAAACCAGCACTAAATCCTCGTATGTTTTTAAAAGAGGGTGTTTGAAACCAACATGACACTTCCATCTACTCTGTAGTTTTTGGTCATTCTTTTTATATTGTGGGGTAAAGAAATGAATTATTAACTAGCTGCTCATTAGCATGCATGTTAGTAGCGTATCGTCTCGTCTCTAAAAAAGCACTAAATGCTTTATTCTACATAACTACAAAAACAGAGAGTTTGTTTTTGTTTTTCAAAGACACAATCTAAGAAAACAGGTCCAACAGAAACTCAAAAGAATTTCTCATTATGCATTACAATTTGGGTGAGAAAGTAAAAAACTATCATCGGTGATAAGAAGAGGTTTGCCGTGTTGACATGTGTTACATTTTTAAGATGATGTAACCCTTCACCCAGTTTGTTATACTGTCCATTTTACACATAAAATACAATATGTACGTGTTAATGAAGGTGTATAAGACGGAGTTTTTTAGAATCAGAATCAGGGTTTATTGCCAAGTACATTTTGAACATACAAGGAATTTGACTTGGTGCATTGGTGCTAAACAATTAACAAGGAAATAAAGCTGAACTAGCAACAACTTAAACAATACAGTATAAGCTATTACAATATATAAAATAGAATTTAAAAATGTAAAATATAAAAATACTTAAAGGCCACTTAATTGGGTGATCTCGATATCTTGGATCGCTGACAGTACACACTGGTCAGGCAGAGAGGTACAATACTAATCTAGTTGTAGTGAGTCATTCTCACACCTCTGTCACTGCACCCACGGGTCTCAGGGGGCAGCAGATCACAAAGAGCAGCCAATTACAGAGCTGCATGCCACCACACAGCATAGCCTCCTCTCCTGTCAGAGAACAAACACGATGTGACTGTAGGGCAGAGGTCACACACCACCCGTCCCGAAACAAACCTAATGAGGAAGATCTTGAGATATCTAATGTGTAAATAAAAAAACAACAACTGTGTGACTGTTTCTGTCTGCTCTGCTTGTTCGCAGGATAAAACACGCCAACATTGTTTCTCTGGAAGAAATATTCGAAAGTAAATCACACCTCTACCTTATCATGCAACTGTGAGTATTCACATGTGTGGGCTTGTGTTGTTGGTTGTGAGAGAGAGAGAGAGAGAGAGAGAGAGAGAGAGAGATTCTTATCTTGTGTTTCAAAAGTTGAGTTATTGGATTCCAGAGAAAGTTGTTGTTTCTAAAATAGTTTTTGTGTGTCCTTGCCATAAGTTTTGTGTTTCTACTGATTCATAACCAAGTGCTTCACCATATTAATGGATTTAAATATTCATGGCAACATTTATTTTATTTTATTTTTAAATTATTATTATTTTTATTTTTTTAAGAAACTCATTGACATTAAAAAATCTCCTTTTCAAGAGTGTCCTGGCCAAGACAGGCAGCAAAACAACAACAGAGTTTCACACGGACAACAAGCAGCCAATCTTTCAAATACAAAATACATTAGACATTAAAAGACACAAATAACAAATCCGAACAGCAAAATGTTTATCAAAAATCATCCACAAACACATCAGGAAGAACATCTACAGCCAGATGTGTCCGCCTACAAGTAATTTAACTTCCTCTTAAAAGCATCCAACGAGAGAAGTTCATTAAGTTTCAGCTCTTTTTGTAATTTGTTTCCAAGTAAAGGAAGCAGCAAACATTAGTCAAGTTTGTTTTACTTTAACAATGTTTGAATATATACACAAACAGGCTTCAGGCATTCTTGATTTTTGTGTTTAAAATTTGCCCTTTTTCCTTCATGTCTTCTTTTCCCCTCTCCACCTTTCCATCCTGCTTTCCTTAAATGTGTGTGCATGGTTAATACTGGAGGCTCACACAGACACAGAGTGAGGTCTCCATCTAGTGGCTACTTAGTGTAATAACAAGCAGAGTCCCTAACCCTTGAACAAAGTCCCTGTGATATAACTTCCTCATCAGTCAGTTCTTCTTCTTTTTATTCATGAATACTTCCCTGAATAATATGTTTACGCCGTGCCTTTCACACTTTTTCTCACTACTCCTCCTATGCCACCATCATCTCATGCTGTATGTGAAGCTGTATAGGCAAATCAGCAAGCTCTTTTATTAGTTCCACATATTTCAGTTCAATCTTAATCTTAATTATGTCCTCGCCATAATGAACTTTGTATTTCTTTACTGAGTAAATCTCTGCTTTTCTCATCCAGAGTGTCCGGTGGGGAACTCTTCGATCGAATCATAGAGAAGGGCTTCTACACAGAGAAAGATGCCAGTAAGCTCATTCAGCAGATTCTGGACGCCGTCAAATACCTCCACGACATGGGCATCGTGCACCGAGACCTCAAGGTCAGCTCAGGGTCACATACACGATAGAGGAGTTAGTGTGCAAATGGAAATCCCTGAAAATGTTCATCTTGATCCATAAATCCTTGTTTATTTTCCTAACTGGAAAATCTCTTCTTATTATCTGTAATCTTCCCTCTGAGTTTGGCTTTGCTAACAGAAAACAAAAGTTGACTTCAGTGTAATGCCCTTCGGTACCTCCATATGATCCCATTATGATATAAGCAGTGGCTGCATGAGAGGGTGGAAGTGTTTGTGTGTTTTAGTTTTAGCATGATTTGCACGACATTACTTTGTAAACATGTCTGGTTTTGATTTTTTTTTTTCCTGGCAGCCAGAGAACCTGCTCTACTACAGCATGGATGAAGACTCCAAGATCATGATCAGCGACTTCGGTCTGTCCAAAATTGAAGGCACTGGCAGTGTGATGGCGACAGCGTGTGGGACACCTGGATATGTCGGTAAAGTTACCACACTGTGTTTAATGAGAAAATCTGCCTCTGATTAGTTTTACATTTGTTTAGTACTTAAGCACCATCATGTCCAGTTGTGTGTCAAACATCATTAGATTTTTTTTGTGACCTCTGTATTACCTGGTTTTGTTCTTTCAGCCCCTGAAGTTTTGGCCCAGAAACCCTACAGCAAAGCTGTGGACTGTTGGTCTATCGGCGTCATAGCTTATATACTGTTAGTATTCTTTGTGAGACTCACTGGTTTTACATTCATTGTATAGAGATTTTCAATTTTTCCAGACTTCTGAAATGCTTTTGGTAGAACATTATCTGTACAACTGTGAGGAAACATGACTTCCTGTTCTCTCCTGTGCGTCTCAGGTTGTGCGGTTACCCTCCTTTCTATGATGAGAATGATGCCAAACTATTTGAACAGATCCTGAAGGCTGAGTACGAGTTTGATTCCCCCTACTGGGATGATATCTCTGATTCAGGTACAGTACCTTTTCTCATAGTGGCACAGGTAAAACTTAAAATGTTCAAGTGTCTTATTGTTGTCCAAGCTTTTAGAGCTGTCATTAGACATCCTGTCAGCTTAGCAGCTGTCCTGGGTCGGCCCTGTATAATCCTTTTAGATGGTTAAAGTTAAACCTGGCGCCCATACCGTTGTTGGTTATGTAATTCTTTCATTCACATCCCAGAGCTTGTGATTGTCTGTGTTTACGACTCTTTTGTCCACACATGTGCGGGAAAAAATAAAAATGTGTGACGTAAAATGACCTTGAGACACTTCAGCACAAATGAGATTACATTTGCTGAAGTGTTGTCTCCTCAGACAAAGAATCTTTCATCAGACGGTAAAAAATAATTCAATGACTGAAACATTTTTACTTGAATATAAGATCTCTCCTGCATCTTCTCTTTGAAGAAGACTGTTAGCATGGAGGCTCATTGACATTCAACCACAGTTGAGTTTCCCTCTCGCCAAAACGCTCCAGCCAGCGGGAATAACTCCAACAATTAAGTCCTCCGCCAGAGTTTGTTAGCAGACGCTCCTCACCTGCAGCTAGTCATGAGTAAAAGACACGGACCAACTCCTACCCAAGAGTTTGTTTACAGAGCGAGTACAGCTATTTCTCACAAAGAGAAGCTGATATTTCAATGTTTCCAGTAAATATTTTTATCAGATCCCTACCTGTCACCTCGCAGGTGTTCACCCCACAAGCCAAGACAATGATGCATGTTGACATTTCATTTTCCCCTGTCCTGACTCTTGGCCTGTGTCCCTGTTTCCTTGCTATGGGCAAGGATTGCTTCAACTTTAAAAACAAATTATACAATGACAAGCAGCGTATTTTCTGGTAACATGAGATACGCCTTGTGATTAGTTTTCATGTAATTTCCAGTCATACACTGATGTTGTAGCTTAGGTATTCATAAATAAATAGACCATTGTTTTCCAACAGTGGGATGATGTGATGTTGACTGTCATATCCTTCTTTTTTCATTCTAGCTAAAGACTTCATAGTCCACCTGATGCAGAAAGACCCAACTGTACGTTACACCTGTGAGCAGGCCCTGCAGCACCCCTGGTACTGCTCTTACACTCCTCAATTATGATTCTCTCACATTGCATAGAAGGTTTCTGTTGTCTGACTTCAGTTTCAGTGATGTTTCAGTTCATCTTGATATACACAGTCTATGGTTAGTCCACTCTTACAGTATGTTTCCTCCCCCTTCTGTTTGACAGGATTGCTGGAGATACTGCTCTGGAAAAGAACATCCATGAGTCAGTCAGCGCTCAGATCAAAAAGAATTTTGCTAAAAGCAAGTGGAAGGTAGGTCAGACTTGTAGTTTGTCTTGGATGCAATTATATTTTCTTATATATGCTTGATTTATGGCATAATGGGCTTTTTTTTGAGTGCATCTGAAGAAAAGTTAAGCTACAATAAAAACAATCACATCCTTTGGATGTACTGCCTTGTTTGAGCTCACTATTGAGAACAGTACTCATTGGAGTTTAACAGTGATTGAGCTATTGGGGTTCTAACCCCCCCAATAGCTCAGTGCTGCTGCTGGTCCTTTTAAGTCAACAGTCTTAATTGCATTTTTGTCTTTTCCTTTGCAGCAAGCATTCAATGCAACAGCAGTGGTTCGTCACATGAGGCGTCTCCAGCTGGGGACAGGTCAAGATTCAGGTACAGGAGTTATTTCTTTTCCTCATAACACAGTAGTATGAAGGTTAACATATAGACAATCAGCTGTGATGTGACGAGTACATCCTCTCTTTTCAGAAGAGTGCTGTGAAGGAGGGCAGAACCTTGACGGGGCAGCTGACCACCTGTCCAGCTGCACCTTCCACTGCCACCCGACCAGCAGGGTGTGATCCGTGCACCCACTTCACTAACCTGTTTTATCAATCCCAGCAACTTTCCAATTTTAACCCCTCGGCGGAACAGGAGGCACCATCTCTCCCCCCTCCCCCACCCCCCACCCCTCATCTGGTTAGGAATACAGTTGTTCCAGCCTTTTGTCTGCAGGGGGAGCTAGACAGTCCAGCCTGAGAAGGAAGACATAACTTGGGATGAAAGGAGGAGAAAGAGGGAGCCTTGATGATGATGATGATTTTGATAATGATGATGCACCTGGAGTGGATCACTTTTACTGACTGGGCTGGTAGTTTGGGTTGAGTTGAAGTTTAGGGAAAGGCTACAAAGGAAGGAGGGGAAGATAACCTCCTCCACCAGCATGTCAGGGGGGATTGTTTTTGCAGAAGCAGGTCAGAACTTGTTGGACTCTGTTTTTACTCATGATTGCTGTTTCAAACTATATCTTTGTTTGTTCAATTGTCATACATATTTCATCTTTTTAACCTTCTACTTCTAGACTTTGGAGTATAAACCCTGACACATTATCTGCATGAGGAGAGATTTTCCCCTAATCATGTTCTGTCTTTCAAACATTACACCTTTGTGGAGCTGCAGTATCGCAGAATGATGCAAACAAAGGAGTGAGTGTAGTGTACAAAGTTTTTTTTCAAGTGGAAAGACAAAGAGCATTTTTTATAAGATGCATATTGAAATGATATGAACAAATGATGAGTAAAATCTTTTTATTTGACAGAACTGTGTTCTTTCTAAAAGTCCGGCTTTTAGACAATCAGTTACTCAAGAGTTTATGCAATGAGAAGTCCTTTAATGTAGCCTTTTATTGTGGAGATCTAGTGTGTCCATGCAGTTGTTATAGGCTTTTTGAGGGGAAGATTGTCTCCCTTCTCCTTTAAAAAAAAAAATCCCAAATCCATTTAACCACTCGAGCACAGGGATATATCTTTGTCTAAGGTGCCTTTGGGATAAATATATATATTGTGATGGGGTTTTATTTTTTCTGTCAATTTTCAGAAATATTTTCAACATAGTTTGCTTCAACTTCATGTTATGTATGTTTTACATTTTCAGCTGTAAGATGCAGTTTTATGCTCTGTGTCAAAGTTAAGTACTGTTATCTCTGAAGGGAGTCCTGCGCACATTAAGCACACTGCCCTTAAGGTCAAGTGTTTGCTGTTTTTAATCTATAAACCCAAATGAAAACCTCATATTTGATCATGACATGAGCGCAGCAATGATGATACATTTAAACTGCTTCTGTGGAGCTTTACCAGAAGCCTCATGTTTTGTTTTATTGAATAAAATTGTCATCACCCTTGTTTACCTATTTCAACCAAATGACACCGTACATTTTGTACCAAAAAAAAAAACAAGCATTTGCAGACCTTGATCTGTGTGCTCAGCCATCTTTAAGGAGAGACAAAGTTAGTAAAAAAAATAGTTTTTTAAATGCAAAAAAGAGATTAAGTTTATGCATCTGCCACCATATACTGTAATCATGCCGTCACTACAATCCCTTTTTTTTTCTTTCAAATGACGTGTTTCATGCATTGCCTGTTTAGAAGGAAATGGATTAAAGAATGTGAAAATGCATCAGATGGAATCGCTCCACTCCACATCCATCAGTGCTTTTAATGTCTGTTTGTATGAAGAGTATGCACTCTATTGCCATGTGTCATTTATCCAAATCTTTAAAAAAAGAAAAAAATATGAATCTACAAATGCATTCAGTCATTTGATTTCTTTTATTGGATTGTATGAAGAATCTAAATCGTTCAGAGGAAAAACAGTGGGGAGTATTTGATGCAGAGGAGCTTATTACTTTAAATCCTCTGTCAGGAAGTCAGTACATGAGAGTCCGCAGTAAACATGATGCTAAGATCTTCATCCATCCTCTGATCACTACTCCATCCTGTCCGACAGTTTCTTTAAAAAGGCCCTCAGAAACACGAGTGCAGACATCTGATGCGACTTGAAGTTTGCGATCCACACGACCAGCATTGAAGAGTGTGTACACAAATTGTGATGATGTCACATTTCCACGAGATTAATGCTAGTTAAAGGGAGTTTACTCTTCAACGAGCTCAAAACTGTTCAAAAGTTAGTCGCACAGACGAGTAAGGGGCAAGCGAAGCTGTAATAGCATGACAGCAGGTTACAGAAAAATCAATGTGCTGCTTTGAAATCTGCATTTCTATTGCATTGGTATTGTAGTGTATTTGGGAAGTATAGCAACTGGTGGTTTCAAACTGTAAAGCGTATTTAAAAGTGAGTTCTTTTGGCTGTTTAGTGTGAAGTGTCTTTACCTGATGAAGTTATGTGACAGACAGAAAGGCACAGGAAAGCAGGGAAATTAGGCCCTGGTTTTATTAATGTCGTCTGACTGACAAAATAATGATTAATCTAGTGTTTATTAATAAATCCCTGTGCTAATTTGAAACATTGCCACAAACATTGTCACACTGATTAAGCTCATGTACCTTGGCGTACTGATGATAATTAATCTTTAAAGTATAAATATACAAAGTGTTAAACATCATCCAGCTCCCTCTTTCAGCATGCTCAATTCCAAAAGAGCCCAAAAAGAAAAATGTGTTTGAGGCTAAAACATTTAAGATAGTTTATATAATAGAGTGCAGTGAATGGTTTTTTAAAATTGAACGCTCGGATTAGGCAATAAAGCTGGAAAGAATTCCAGTGCAATGACACAGGTGATGAAAATATAACGAAGTAGTATCACATTACCTCACCACTCATCACCAGCATGGTTAAAAGGGAGGTTATACTGAGCTTGCCCTGACAGGTTGTTTGGATGAATTGCTTCAGCTTTTGTGTTTAAAATGATCATAATTACAACCCGTACATTTCATTCATGGAATTAACAGAACATGATCTATAGCAGAAAACCACATGAAGGTTTCTTTGATCCCTCATTAACCCCTTGTAGACACTTAACCGTTTGTGATAAGATGTGTTGTACAAAATGACAATGTACAATAAATATTTTGCCTTTAAAAAATGCTGTTACAGGCTACAACAGTACATAATGTATACACAAATGCAATGCATCATGGGTTGTTGAAAAGTGACAATACTAAAGATGGTCTGACTTGTACTTGGAAAGGATTTGTAAGTGAAACATAGCCTACATTAAAATCCATGTCTATGCATTATGAATCTGTATATTTGTCACAGAAAACAAAACATTTAACACTTTTATTTTTTGTCATGAACAGGTGAAACATTTTCAGTTTTATAACAAGTAACTTTTATATGAACATGTTTTATTTAGTCTAGCAGGAAAGGGAAGTAGTGCCACCAATAGCTTACTGCTAGCAGCTGTCTGGATATCAGTTAGCCTGTTTGAACCTTTTTTACTTTGTTACTTCTTATTTTTGATTTTACTTTAAGCTGATAAAAAAAAGTGGTCTGTTTATTTTGGAATTTAGAGAGTGTTTTTTTAATTGAAACATATGACAAAGAAATTCCAAGACATATTTAAGTCTTTAATTCAAGTATACTAAATATTTAGTTTTTGCTTTTGGCTTAGTGGATCGATGCTGGTGTTTTCAAAAGTCATTCTTGCCCTTTGTTTAAAAACAGAAGCCTGGAGGAATACGATTGCAATAGAAGCTCTGCCTTTCTCAATGGTCAAATTCTGCAACTGTGCAGTCTCTGAGATGGTTGTGTGGTTTGTGAGGTTTGTTATGAATGTTAATTTCATAGTGCGCTACACAAAACCTTCTCTCGTCTTCACAAAGGAATGCTGGGTAATTGAGGCTTGTGGTTTGGCTGCTGGAGCACTGCGATGGAGGGGACCAGAGAGCAGAGCGAGGGAGTCTGGTGGTTGACCTCATTCAAGGCACAGAAGACAGAATAAAAATGATGCGGTCAATCCATGAACAAGGGACTAATTCAGAAAATAAGAGAAAAATGGCATGGATCAAAAGGTAAAACACAAGTGCTCTTGAACCTTAATGAGTTGGGGGGAAAAAACAAAGTGCCAAGTGTGAAACTCTGCACCATGCAGGACATAATGATTTAATCAAAGGGAGACCAGAGGACTGTGGCATCTTGTTTAAAATTTGTCCCTCTACTGTAGAAAGTAAGCTCAATGAGGAGGATTTTGCTCGTAGTCCATGATTGTCTCCCTGCATGTTATCCTCCATTCTTGTATGGAATGTGAAATACCGACTTTATTTAATGATGAGCCACAAGTGAACCATACAGGAATGACTGACTCATCTTCATGCATGTTGCTATATATCAGTCATAACTATCAGTAATTGAAACCTTCAAAGACTCTTAAAACAAATGTGCTGATCTGGAAGTCTGCAAAGATTTATTAAGTGGTTATTATGTGGTGTCACATCAGTAAGGCACTAAATCACAAGCACACTTGCTTGCTTTGCATGCTGGATGTGAAAAAGGGGCTGCCTGCCAGCCAAGATAAACAGCTTCTGATATATTTTTTCATCATGGGAGAATTAAAATATTTGCCATCAAATTCAACATCTAGCTATCTCTGGCACTGCAGTGCTTTGAACTAAATGCTAACATTGGCATGCTAACAGAAATGCAACATGTTCGTAACATCAGCAAGTTAGCATTTTCAGGTGAACTGTCTCAAACAGGCAGGTTCACCATCTTAGTTAAAGGCTTTATATGTGATTTTTCACACTTAAATGTAATAGAAATCAAGTATATCCTCTCAACAATGCAGCACAAGTTGTTTTGGTTTCATGCTGGTGCTCAAGGGCGCCATCTGCTGGATCAAAAAATCGCATATAGAGCTTTTAAGCATCAGCATGCTAACATTTGCTAATTAGAAATGAACACATTGTATGTTCATTTAATTAATAACGGCATGTAGTGTCTGCCGATAATGTGAATGTCAGGGTTTGATTAATCTACAGATTCGGTAGCTTCTTTGACCAGGAGTCCTAATGAATGCACAACTTATAATTTATTTTAGTCCTAAATGGACATTAGCGTGCCAGACAAATATGCTGAGAACATTCCAAGTCACATTGTTCACCAAATCTCTTAAGACTCATGCTGGCTAGGTAACATGTAAGGTTCAAAACGGTATAACAGTGCAGCTGTCTACAATTTGGAGACATTTTATGTAGAACTACAAACGTCAACCTCTTTGTGGTGCTAAAGAAAAAAAGCTTGGAAACAGAAAAATCTGCAAGATAATTGAACACATACTTGCCAAATGTCATGTCAGTCCATGTAGCAGGCTAGTTGATTAAAATGTAGCCTGTATTGAGAGGGAGGAGGACCCAATGACAGGACAGTGCTAGAATGGCTAAGAGAAAAGCATTGTTGATCTCACCGAGTTTTCATTGTGATCTAACGGGTCCACAACAAGTCACTACCATCCAAGGTGACCTATGCGGGTATATGCGGGTCTGGTCCACTCATATGCCGCGGCATATGCCAGGGCACGAGTAACATATGAGTGGCTCATGTGCCGGCATATGCCACTCATATGCCACTCCTTGACACTAGGTTAAATCATCCTTTGTTAATGATAATGTATCAACATTCAAATTTCATCTTAATGCAATGTCAGTTTTGCACCCTCCATTAAAATTGAAACATCACTAAAATGATAACTAAATATAAACTAAACTTTAACCATCCTTAAATGATTTTTTGTCAAAACCGAACAGGAAGTATGGCATAATTTTATTTTCAAAATTTCAAAATAATGACCCCAATTTTGCGTTTTACATGCCACCCATTTGAATGAACTTCTCTGATGGCCCCTGACAGAAATAAATAATTAATGTGCTCTGAAAAAGGAACGAAGAAAATCCATCATCTGTATCAGTTGTAAGTCTGTAAAAACTTTGACTAATGTCTGCCACGAGGTACCAATTTGATGAACCAATCAGACGCCTCCCTGTCTCCCTGCTCAACTCTAACCCTAACCCCTTCTCTACACCTTGTGTGCACTAGCCAACACTCAAAGTGTGTCACAGATGACAGAGTTTATACTGTGAGTTTATTTACCGCTGAATAAGACATGAGACGACTTAGTTTCCACACAATGCGGCGTTTGTGCATGTAAGTGAGGGGGCGTGGCTTTTGAGGGAGCACAGAGGGAAGGGGATGAGTTTTTTGGGAGTGAATGCTACTTTCAAAATTGTGCAAGTTTTAAAAAATTACCAACCCTGCCTTTAATTTTCACACTTTAATGATTTCCACAATAAATACCTGCAGGTGATAAAGATGGGCTTAGTAAACTGTGTTAATGTTGTGCATGCCAAAAGACATTCATCACTTCTCTGACTCGGATACATGGAAAGCAGGAAACATAACATAAGGTTTGAAACTTTCTCTTGAATTCATTACCTCTCTGCTTCACTGCTGTCTCAGTTGTCACTTTTCTCTGCTTTTGGCTGATGCTAAACTGGGAGGCTAATTTAAAGTGATACATACAGCTCTATTCTGCAAGTAAGGCAGAAGATGCAAGCAGTTAAACAAAATAATCTTTGAATCAAAATGTTATTTTATAGTTGTTTGTTGAAAGCTTCCTCCAGAATTATTTCTGGCTGATGATTCTTTCCTCTGTCCCTTTTTAATTCTACCAAAAAAAAGTACATAGGCTTGTTATGAAGACAAATTAGACCAAAACATTGACATGGGAAGTTTTGTAAAGTTCATTTATTTAAAAAAAAAAAAAGAACTACATAAAATGTTATAAAATGGATTATGCTACTGGAAAAGCAAACCAGATGATAAAAGAAAAAAGGGAGATAATGAGATATGCAAAAAAAAAAGTAACTAAAGTGAACTGTACGTTGTTACAAGGGTTGAAATGAATCCTAACTGGGTGCTCAGCACCTTTTTTAAATACAAATCTTTTGCTTTCATTCAGTACATTTTGAATAATAACCCTTGCATTAAGCAGAAAAAAATGACATTTGTGAGACAATATACGTTCATTAAAGGCTTTATATGCGATTTTTTGATCCAGCAGATGTCGCCCTTGAGCACCAGCATGAAACCAAAACAACTTGCGGTGCATTGTTGTGTTAGCATGCTAATGCTAGCGATCTTTATTATGCTCGTATCTTCACACTGCATGTAAATGTACCTGAAATGAGCGTGATCTAGAAACACAGTTAAGCAGTGAGTACAGTATGTTATTCTTCTTTTCTCTAGTCCCTCAATTAAACAACTTTTATACATGAGGGGAGGAGTCAGCCGGCCGTCCCAACGATGTAAACAAAGTGAAGATAGGACTCTGAAAACTCTGAAAACATCACAGACAGTGGGACTCGGGTGTTACACCCATTGTAGACAGTCATGACTCACAGAGTTATTTTCAGAGGATATACTTGATTTCTATTATATTTAAGTGTGAAAAATCACATATAAAGCCTTTAAGCCACCGCTGTCTTTCTGCACTCTGTGCATCTTGCAGCTCAGTCATCCTTATTAAAACTCAAAATCATACTTGATGATAAATTGAAGATATTGCACGCGTGTTCAAAGAGGACCTATTATCCCCCTTTTCCACCTTTTCAAACAGTCCCCTGTGGTCTAAATGAAACATCTGGGCTATGATTTGGTCAAAATATAACATGAATCAAGCACAATGTGCAAAGGGGTGCAAGGGCCCTTCATCACTTGCAGTTTTAATTATTAAGATAATTGAAAAGATACTGAAGGTCTTTGCAAATAAGTATGGTTGGTTTATGATGGCCTTTGTTATTCAAGGTGACCTGTTTCACCTTATATCAAAGTGTTGAGTTAAGGTTTCAGTAAAGAGTGAGCACACACACTCCCCTCACATCTGTCACCAGGAAACCATTCTGTCTTTCAGTGCTCTAAGACAGGCGTATGTGTCTTTTTTGTCCTTTAACAAGTGAGATTTAGGCATTGAAAGTTTTCATCAGTTGTTTGAGCTTTTCACTCTTTCTCCACCCTACCTGTGCTTTTTCTCTGAATGAATAGAAAAAGTATGGTTTGCATTCAAAAAATGATTCCTCTTGACTCTGAAAAATGTTTCTGTGAGAATAATCAATCAGGATGTTCGATGTCTTCTACCTAAAGATCTACCCAAAAATGTACATACATTATGCTTAATCTCTTTTCTCTGTTTTGGAAGAAATGTAACTGCCTGTAAAATATTCACGTTTCTAGTGTTGGATAT